AATACTAGACTTCTAGTGTTAACCATGTCCATCTGCCCCAAGTGGAGGCGACTTAAGACTCAAAAACCTAAACTGGCTTGTGATTCCAGAGGAAAATGTTCAGACTGCCATCAGGAAGTCTCTGCTATACCTCAAGACTTCTTCTGGGATAGACCTTGGGCCTTAAAATACATGAAATGGTCTTGCTGGAACAAGCTGCACATGCCCATCTTCTAAAGATACAGACCACCTAATGACATGGAGGCTTACCTTTTGATTTTGGAAGACTTTTTGTTTTAGGACTTCAGGAGGGTTTAATACAAAGGCGAGCAATTATTTCAGGTGGAGGGCCACTTACTGAGTTTGGCAAGCCATCGAGGGCCACATGATAGGCAGCCAGCAGCAGATAAACTATTAACTTTCTAAATTTGGGGGGGGGCCCATGGGCTGGATAAATGGCCTGGTGGGCCACATCCAGCCTGTGGGCTGCATTTTTTGCCTACCCCTACTTTAGTAGGACAAAGCCAGAAGCTTCCTGCTGTTTGGTCACCTGTCCATTTCAACTGTGTTTAAATGACCAATTTTTTTTCCCAGCAGCATTAAAGCTTCAAATAGCAGTTGTTGGGTTTTCCCTTTTAATTGTCTGCCATTGTTTGTGATGCCCTAAAGGCCTGGGTCTAAGCAAGAATGCTGTTTCCATCCTCGGGCTTCTCTGCAGCCATGAGGCCTGGCTTTTGAGTACTAATCTTAAATGCATGTAAACTTTTAAAATCTTGATAACTTGGAGATGCTTGAGGCTGGTAACAAGGAAGGGATGTGGACTTCACAAACATCAGAATGCAAGTTTTTGTTTTTTAAAGAAAAGAAGAGGGCAGAGTAGAGCTGGAGCTTTATCCCACTACGTAAAACGGTCTAAAGAAGCAAGCACATCCTATGGGAGGATGCAGCACAGTGTTGCCTTGGAGAAGCTATCCGTTGTCCAAATAGTGAGGAGAAGCTGGATTTCTAGATTTGCTAATCTTGGGCAGAGTTAATAATAGGCTTGGATTCCCTGCATAGAGTCTGTTTGGCTGGGAGTTTTAAAGGCAGTGCATGTAGCAGAAAGTCTTCAGGAAGACTTATACAATCTTTCTTTCTCTCTAAAGCAAACTACAGATCTGAACCTTCCTCCTGAAGACTTGGACTCATCTGGAGATGATGACAATTTCTCTGGCTCAGGTGCTGGTAAGTGCATTTCTTACTGCTGAGTTGTCCTATATTCCAAGACCTCGCTTTCTCTGTAGATCTTTGAGACTTGTTCCTTGCCCTCTGCTTACTATAAGGACATCTTCAAGGGGTTTGTTTCTTTCCATCCTCCCCTCTTTTTTCCCCCCGTACTCTTAATTGTCATGGCTCATGCTATTTCATGAGGAAAAGCAGAAAGGTGAGAGCTAAAGTAAGCTTCCCAGCAAGCAGTACTGCAGAAACTCTAACTCCAGAGCTGCATGTCTTGGATGTGCAGTAATTAAGCACCTGTGCTTCACGTAAATAAGGTAGCTGAGCTGGGTTAGGGGAGGTAGGTGATCTGGAGCAGATCTCTCAATCTGCCAGCTAATATTAAAGCTGCTGCATAGAACTACACAGTGGGGTATGAGTAGAGGACCACTCTTGATGCTCCAACGAAGAGTAAATTGAATACTTGTGAACTTGCGTTTCAGCAGGTGGGTTTTTCTTTACAATGTCCCCTTGTTCTCTGAGTATAGCACTTTGTGAGTGCTGCCATATTCTGAATGACTTCAGATTTGGGTGGGGTAGGGATGAAGATAAGAAGCTAACTGCTTTTAGGTTTAATTCAATCCTTACAGTAACACTTTTTCCCT